AGGGAGCCCGATGCGGGGCTCGATCCCAGGACCCTGGGATCATGACCTGAGCCGAAGGCAGACGCTTAACGACTGAGCCACCCAGGCGCCCCATCCTGTGTTACTTTTAGAATTGGGGGGAGGATGTAAGGTGGCATACCAAGAACAAATAGGGGTTAAAAGCCCAACCACTAGGAACCCCTTGTCCTGTGACTGTCAGCAGCCACTTTCCCAAGTCCGTTTTCTGAGGATGGGCTCAGGAATCTTAAAAGCAGGGGCGCTCAGCGGGAAGACTGCTTCTCCCTCTCCTACTTCCCCTGCTGGTGTTCCCTCTCTCACTGTGTCTCTCTCTGTCAAATAAATAAAGAAAATCTTAAAAAAAAAAAAAAAAGAAAAGAAAAAGAAAAAAGTACCCTGGAAATAACCCAAATAGTCAGACCAAATAGCATTGACAGGGGAAAATTGAACTAATGTCTTAAAGAGGTGCTTCCCTTTTCTGTATATTTTTGAAGTTGTTTTCTTAATGGTTACCTTGGTATTAGAGTTAACATGTTAAACTTACAACAGACTAGTTTTAGTAATACAAACTTATTTTCAATTGTATTCAAACACTCCACTCCTATACAATTCCATCTCTCTTGGTTATATTATTATTGTCACAGATTCCATTTTCATACATTGTGTGTCCATTCACAGATAATTTTGTAATTACATACATAATTTTGTAATTACATACATAAATTTGTAATGATTGTTTCGTACATTTGCATCTATCATATAGAAAAAAAAAAAACAGGAGTTATGAACCAAAAGGAAAATAATGCTGGCTTTTCTATTTATCTATGTAGTTAACTTTTTTTTTTTTTAAGATTTTATTTATTTGACAGAGAGAGACATAGTGAGAGCAGGAACACAAGCAGGGGGAGTGGGAGAGGAAGAAGCAGGCCCCCCGCGGAGCAGGGAGCCCGATGCGGGGCTCGATCCCAGGACCCCGGGATCATGACCCGAGCCGAAGGCAGGCGCCCAACGACCGAGCCACCCAGGCGCCCCTATGTAGTTAACTTTTTAAAAAGATTTTATTTATTTGTTTGTTTGTTTAGGGAGCACAGGCAGGGGGAGGGACCAAGGAGGAGGGAGAGAGAGAATCTTAAGCAGACTCTGTGCTGAATGCTGAACCCTATGCTGGGCTCAATCTCACCACCCTGAGATCATGACCTGAGCCAAAATCAAGTTGGTTGCTTAACCAACTGAGCCACCCAGGTGCCCCTTACAGCTATATTTTCTAGTGTTGTTTTTTTTTTCTTTTCAGCCTGAAAGACTCCCTTTAGCATTTCTTGTAGGGCAAGTCTACTGGTAATGATCTGCCTTAGCTTTTGTTTATCTGAGAGTGTTTTAATTTTTCCCTCATTCTTTTTTTTTTTTTTAAGATTTTATTTGTTTATTTGTCAGAGAGAGAGAGCAAGCGCACAAGCAGGGGGAGCAGCAGGCAGAGGGAGAAGCAGGCTCCCCACTGAGCAAGGAGCCCAACGCAGGACTTGATCCCAGGACCCTGGGATCATGACCTGAGCCAAAGGCAGACACTTAACTGACTGAGCCACCCAGTCATCCCTAGATATATCTTTTGAAAATGCAAACAACCCAGCTAAAAAATGAATGGGCACCCGACAAAAGAGGAAATCCAAGTGACTGGCACACACAGGAAAATGTTTTCAATCTTATTTTTTTTTCCTTTGGAGAGAGAGCACGTGCGTGCGCGAGCAGGGTGGGGGTGGGCAGTGGGGGAGGGAGAGAGAGAATGCTAAGCAGGCTCCAGGCCCAGCGCGGAGCCCCATGCAGGGCTCAATCTCACCACCCCAGACCATGCCTTGAGCAGAAATCCGGAGTCAGACACCAGATGGAGCCACCCAGGTGCCTCTCAACCTTATTCTTACTGAGGAACTACAGATTATAACCAGAGTAAGACACAACTACCCAGCCACTAAAATGGCTCACCCTAAAATTATTGACAGTACCAAGTGCAGTCGGGGATATGGAACAACCGGAATTCTTAGGCTTTGCTAGTGGGCATGTAAATGTGCAGGATCAGGAAAACTGGCAAGTCCTCCTAAGATTGGAGATACGCATACTCTGTGATCTCTCCATTGCCCCCCTGGTTGTCTCTGAGTGCACATGGGCTCCAAAAGACACATACGAGAGTGCTCCTAGATGAATTATTTGTGACAGTCCCAAACCGGACACAACTTAAATGTCAGTCGATAGGTGGATAGCTAAATAAAGCATGCTGTATTCACACAAGGGAAAATTACAGCAATGAACAGGAATGACCTTCTGCTACACCCAGCGTGGATGGATCTTCGAAACATCACGTTTAGCTGAGGAGGCCAGAGATGAAAGTGTACATACTGCGTGAGCCCACTTACATGAAGTTCAGAACTGGACAAAACTATTCCAGAGCGTGTTAGAGGTCAGGACAGTGGTGAATGAGAGAGGAAGCATGGGGGATGACTGCAAGAGAAGACTGGGAAGCTGTCACTACCTTATTTCTTCGTATGGTTGGAAATTAGGGATTTGTGCTCACTTTTTATGTTAAAGATCTGTGGTATGTGTATGGTATGCTTTTATAAAAAGTTTATACATCAAAAAATCCAGAAAGAGAATTTTTTTTTACAATTAATCCTAATTAAATGTAGCTGGCTTTTTCTTTTTTTTTTTTTAAAGACTTTATTTATTTATTTGAGACAGACAGAATGAGAGAGACAGAGAGCACATGAGA